CGACGCGGGGCTCGAACTCACGGACCGCGAGATCGTGACCTGGCTGAAGTCGGACGCTTAACCGACTGCGCCACCCAGGCGCCCCCTCTCTTATTTTTTTTAATATTCATTCATATTAGAGAGGGAGGCAGAGGTAGAGAGAGGGAGAGAGACAGTGTGCAAGCCAGGGAGGGACAGAGAGAGACACAGACAGACTCTAAAGCAGGCTCCAGGCTCTGAGCTGTCAGCACACAGCCCGGCGCCAGGCTCAAACTCTCGAGCTGTGAGAGTTTGATCTCCTGTGAGATCATAACCTGAGCCGAAGTCAGATGCTGAACCAACTGAGCCATTCAAGTGGAGTGCATCTCTCTTATCTAAGTAAGGCTGAGCATCTTTCATATGACTAGGGGTCATTTGCTTTTTCTTCCTTGTGAATTGTTTATATCTTTTGTGCATTTTTCTACTAGGCTGTTGATTTGTTGTCGTTGATATCTAGATCTGGGGGCATAATTATAAAGGTCCTCTACTCTAAGATTTCAAAGGAAGTCTCTCCTGTTTCCATCTAGTACTTACACGGTTGCACTTTTAACGTTTCAATTTCAATTATGTTTCAATTATGTTTTAAAAACATAAATCAGATCCCATGACCCTTCTGCCTAAATCTTCAAAGCCTTCCCCCACACTCAGGTTAAAATCCAGGTACCGCTCTGTGACAAGTCCCTGCGATAGCCAAGCTCCCCCTCTTCAGTTCCATGAACATGAATGTGCTGAGTTCTCTTCTGCCGCACGCCTTAGCAACTGCTGTTCCCTCTAGTGGGAATGCACTTCCTCCGCCCCTTCACCCAGATAGCCCTTCTTACCCTTCAGTTGCATCCAATGCCTTCTCTTCAGAGAAGTCCAGCCTCACCTCTGTCCGTTTCTCAGCAAATCTTATGTTTACTCATCTGCGTCTAAGTTTACTGTTCACTTCCCCTGCAGACACGAGCCCCATGAAGACTTGGCAAAGGCCAGGACTTAAACCTGACTTTAGGAAATGAAGCTCC